AGAATATTTGCTATGAGAATTAAGTTAGTAATTTAAATTAAGAATAGTGTTTCATTCAGATTTGCTCTTCCGGAAGGGCGAACCGATCTTCAAAGGGGTGCGCTGCTCTTACTCTGAATAAAACATTAAATTAAGAGATTCTCTTTTATTTCAACCATGATTAATACTGAATATTTTTTAATTGCAGAAAGAAAAAAATAGAATAATACTAGACAATTGAGCTTTGAAGATTTAGTCTTACGATCTTGGAGCTAATTCATGAAATATAATGTGAATAATGGTAACTATTTACGTTTGTCTTTGTTCTGATGGTAGGACAGCGCTTCGAGCTAGACTACCGTTACTTACACCATCATTATATAGAACAGTTGCATGAGTGTACGACATTCTCTTCATCTTGTTTTATTAAATTTCAAAAGATTAATGAGTATTTTCATCTGCTTGAATAAGATGCATGTGTCGCTTAAAAAAAAGAAGAATGATTAATTGGCTTTGTTTAACAATATAATTATTTATGCCGCGATGAATAAAGGATATACGATATGACTTAAAAAATAAAATTAATTTTCATTCTATAGAAACGTGATCAAATATATTTACTATAAAACTGATAATTTGAAAAATTAATGATTCAAATTATATTTATCTATTTCATTAACACATAAGAGAATATTTTTACATGAAGATACATTTCAATACTAAACAAAAGAGTTTTCTATACTAAAACACATTACAAAAAGTTTTTTTTTTTTTTCTAATAGACTTAGCTTACGGAAAATCATCTTGATGGTATAACTTCTTAAAAGAATATGAAATATTCCAATAATCATACAACAATTAATAATCTACAAAGCTATGAATATATAATTTATATGAATCTTTTTATATTATGTATAAACTAAAATGTAATAATTTAAGTTCATTTATTTGAATTATTTGTTTTACAAATATTTACCGTTATTAAATTATATTGTTAAAAAAGAATGAATTTCAAGGATCTGTTCCTTGAAGATTTGCATGGAGTCAACAAAATTGAATCGTAAATTTTGTTCTCTGATATTTACCGTACATATTAATGTATTTTGAAAGTTTCAACAACGAATTTTTTTGTCCCGATATTTGTATAAGATGTTATTGAAACTTAAAAAAAAACATGCATCGATTTGTACAGTAAATATCAAAGAACAAAATCTTCAATGACAAAAAAAATTCTAGTTGACTCCTTGCAAGTTTCGAATGTTTCTATATGCAATTCACATTGTGTCTTATGAGTGACAAATATTACAAAGATATGACTTCGTTCCGAAAAAAAAAAAATTCGACGCAAAACACAAAATTATCTGCATTATTGTTATTCTATTATCTTGCTGACGTTATTGAAACTAAAAAAATACTTACACAGAGAGAAAGATAAAAAATAGCAAAGCTTTGTCTCTCTCTCTCTCTATCATTAAAAAATAATCAACACTCACTTTCTCTTTTTTTTGCGTAATATTTCGTAGTAAATTTTCGTTTGCTTGTGACTCGATGAGAATAAATTATTTATTTGAATAGAAGGATGTTATGGGACCATCTTACAATCAGAAATGTCCCGAGGTCACAAAAATTGAGGGGGAAGGATGATTCTCCGTTCGGAACACTCCGGATTAGAGTAGTTCGATTGAAAAGAGAAGAAGTAATAACTGAAGCTATTTATAAATGTTACGTTGTCAACACATATCCAACTGTATACTACGTTCAATCTTTGAAATAGCACAATAATAGTTTTTGTATTACATATCTATTTTCATTTCAAATAAAAGAATCATGTGTAATCTTTTTATTTATGAATGCTACACACAACAATTAATTTACTGTTTGTTAGAAGTATACAATTGTAAAATCAACTAGCAGAAAGATAATGAAATGTCAAAAGTATTAAATTTTCTTTTTGGTTGATTGAGAATCATTTAGTAGAACAATCTTAACAAGAGTAAAGATTAAAGTAGCGTGTAATTAGAAGATAAACAAGTTAACTTCATTTGGAGACATATGTAATAAAAAACTACTAAATAGACCGATGTTCTATATACATGATATTATCCAGTGAAATTTCAATAGAGAGATATATCCGCGTGACAAAAAATAGTTGCAAACAGTATTTTGTAACAAATCATTACTATAAATTAACATTTTGGAAAAAATAAATATATATTTGGATAGCCCGAAGAATACTCTACAACTCTATATATAAGCATTTTGAATTGCACTTATCTACTAAAAATAAATTCACGCACAATAAAGGCGTCCTCATGTTCAGATTCCCCAAAAATACATTTTTTTTCTCTTTTTTTCATTCATATTTTTAAGTTTATTTTGAATATAGGAACAAGT